CTGCAGGAAGCCCCTCCCACTGGCTGCTGCTTGTTTCTGCAGGAAGCTCCTCCCACTGGCTGCTGCTCGTTGTTGGCCTGACGTGAGGGTCGACGTGATTAATGTCAAGAACAAATTTGTTTACATGTTTATGATTTGTCCCGCTGTGTGAAGGAGCTGCAGATATGAGCTGTTTGTTTTATGAGCGTGTCTCATCAGTATTCACTCTCACTAAAGGTCCGTATTTTAATTTGCTGCATTAATGCACCAGAACCAGCCGGACCCAAAGTTCCTGCTGGAATATTTTAGTAGACGACCTGAGCTCTCTCACTTCACCTGTTTATACAAGGCTAAATTAGAAATCTGTGCATAAACTGAATTATTTTCTACCATCACTGGTTTTATGAACTGACTGAATAATCTGGATTAAAAACTTTAGACAGGAAGTTAAATTTGATAAACATATTTGAATTAAAATCCAAATGATAACAGTTTTTATCACCACCGAAGTTATAAAAACAAACACTTTGAACATCATCTATTGGTACATTTTGATTTGCATTATATTTTGTTAACATATATTTACATATTGTGTTTAACTTGCATTTATGAATTATTTTTACTAATATCCACAACAGATTATACCTTTGAGCATAAATTTAGCTTCATGTTGAGATTTTAGCACCTTCCTCAGTTACGTCCTGCAGGTCTGTTGTCAGGATCTGTTTGTTTATATTCTATTATCATCTTTGTGTTATGATTGGGTTTAATCTTCTTCACCTTCCGTCGGTCGGTTGGCCACGCCCACTCTCACCTGGTCTTCACGCAGTTCAGCTGTTCCTCGTCAGCCCTTCAAACCTCTGCTGTCAGTCCCAACGTGCACTCTGAGTGCTTTTATTGTCTTTTTGATAAGTTTGAAGCATCGACTCTGTTTTTAAAGAGACTGCAGTTATCAAACATGTCCTCATGGGTTTGCTCGTCTTTCTCTCCTGCAGATACGTCAGATCTCGTACGAAACACGACATCGACATGCGGATCGGGATCCACTCGGGCTCGGTGCTGTGCGGCGTGCTGGGACTCAGGAAGTGGCAGTTTGACGTCTGGTCCTGGGACGTGGACATCGCCAACAAGCTGGAGTCCGGCGGCATCCCCGGGTGAGGGTTTGCTCACGTGGCTCTAATCTGCCTGTTGGGCCTCAGGGCCACGGTGGGATTATTTCTCTCGCTGCCGTTTGGAAATGTCCGGCCAACATCTGTTCTGGACCCCGACCTGCGCTCTTTACTGCATCTGTTGCGTAACACCACGTCCTCTGCATGTTTCAGATGGGATCATGTTTGCTTTGATCACGTCAGACACGTCTCTAATCGGGACAGGGACACGGTGGACCTGACCTCTGACCTGACTCGTTCACACCCGAGCAGCTCAGTGATTGGCTGCTGCCTGGAACACCTTCAACCACAATCATCTGCTAAAAACTCTATTCACAGAGACACGTTCATGTCAGCTGTGTGGTCTGAAGACCTGTAAACGTCCAGTAGGTGTCCCACCGTGCAAAGTGACAGCCCAAACATCTGGCAGTGACCTGTCTCACTGAAACATGTCACATTTAACAGATGCTGGACGGTAAGAGCTCTGAAAATAACAGATCTGACAGGCGTCTGTCCAACAATCAGTCTTTTCTGGGACTTTTTGTGATTGTTGTGGTTCAAAATGTTCCACGTTGCAGCAGATTTTCACAAAGCTGCAATAAAAAAATTACAATTTCATTAAGTTGGACTGGTTTTACTGGAAACATTTCATTCTAAACCTGATCTTCATTTACTTGTTTTCATCCTCGTCCACACGGGAACTCTTTAAAAACTCTCATAAACTGTTTCTATAAACTTCAGTTCACTTTAGTTCATCAGGACGGTGGGCAGTTCCAACATACATATAAAACATTAGATGCTTTGCACCAGATTTGACCTTGAGCTAATTGTCAACAAACAAACAAACAGCACCAATAAATAATAAAACAATGTTTTCATCCACACTGAAACACAGAAAACAAAAAAAAAAAACTGCAGTAACTCTGCCAGGCCTGTGTGTGGCGCTGCACTGTTGTCGTAAAAATACAGCAAAAACAGGAAACAAGGCGCAGAACATGCACGTAACTCGTGCACCCTCAGTAGACTATGCATTTAAACTATAGATTGTAGTTTAGATCCTACAGTCCAAGATTCAAACTGTAAAAACAAGAAGCAACGGACGAGGTCGGAGGTTAAAACCAGAAGAACACAAAGTGCAGGACAGCGCTGGACTCTTTACAACCAGAGAGAGACCGACACAGAAATGCTGCTCCACTTTCTGTCCAAACATTTTGAAGTTTGAACATGTTCTCCTTGCGTTTCAGGAGAATCCACATCTCCAAAGCAGCTTTGGACTGTTTGAACGGAGACTACGAGGTGGAGGAAGGCCAAGGCAAGGACCGCAACGACTTCCTGCGGCGCCACAACATCGAGACGTACCTGATCAAGCAGCCGGAGGAGAGTCTGCTCACCCTGCCGGAGGACATCATGAAGGAGGCGGCGAGCTCGGCCGACCGCCGCTCCAGCAGCGCCACCTTCAACGAGGCCTCGTGGAGCCCCGAGCTCCCCTTCGACAACATCGTGGGGAACCAGAACGTAAGCTGCGGACGCGCCGGTCCGTCTGTCACTGAACAAACCCTGAACGTTCGTCTGAGCTGACAGCTCGTTCCGCAGCCGAAGAATAAACCTGGTCTTATTCCAACGTGGACTTTAGGCCTCAGATTAACTCGAGTCAGATTAACTCGTCACAGATTAAAACATTTGGCTGCAGGACGAGGCTGTTTGAGGAGACGGGCGGTTTTCAGCAGTGCTGCCTGTTTCTCTCTGTGTAGAGAAGCTGTTACCGTGGTAACGAATCAGTGTGCGTGTGCGTATGTGTGTCTGAGGATCTTCATGTTGTGAGGTCTGGTCCAAACGTCCTCCTTGTCTTTGTCCTCATCTCTGTTTGTCCATAAAAACAAATCAGCCTCCGGAGACATCGTGTCAACGTTTATATCCGAGAGTTATTTGTTGTTATTTGTTGTTATTTGTTGTTATTTGTTATTTCAAGTCAACTCAAGGTTCTTTATTGTTGTTCACATCCATGAGTTGGAACAAAGTTGTTGTAATTTGTTTCTTTCTAAACTCAACAAAACGTTCTTCCTATAATCTCCCGCCACTTTAGACGTTGCCAGAACAATTCAAATTATTTTGGAACATCTTTTTTTTTAAACAAACTAATATTTTGTGTTTTCCTTTGTCGCTTCTTGTCACATTTTAAAGACTTTAAAATAAAAGTCTGATCTGATTCATCAACCGAAGACTTTAAGGATGAAGTTGAGTCGGTTTCTTTTAAAGCGTTTTTCTGTTCAGTTTCTGGTTTTTGTTGCCAGACTTCTTCTTCGTCCTCTGGCTGTTTCAACCTTCGGCTCCAGCAGGAGCAGCGTCGTGGCTGTTAGCATTTTTAACTTTTAGACGTTTAAAGTTATTTAAATTAGTTTGTAAAAACATTCCCTCATAAAAAAAAACACTTAAATCACCACAAGTGTTTAAAAAACAGTTTATCTACTTCAGCATATTTGCTCTGTTTCTGTTCTTTTATGCCTTTAGCTATTGTCTTGCTAATTTCTAGCGTGTAACATTTGTCTCTTTCATTTTAGCTTTTAGATTTGGTTTTGCTAATTTACAGTTTAGTTTGTTTAATCTTTTAGCTGTCTCATTTTTATTATCACCTGTTTTGCAACTGTTCAGGTTATTATTAATTTTAGCTTTTAGCTACTTATTGTTACAGTCCCATCAGCTGAGTCTTTCACACATGAAGTAAATCTAGAATAACTTTTTAAAACGTAGCGTCTCTTGAGTTGAATATTTTCCTGATTATTGACGTGTCGGGCGTTCACGGGGTTGTAAACTAGCTGTGGGTTCTACGGTTGGTGGGCTTTCTGGTTCAAAGCTTCGGCCATTAATGGGATGAGACAGATGTTTCTGGGTTCATTTAAAACAGATGTGGACTCTAAAACGTCCCCGTTCCTTCATTTGTCCCTGAGCTGTGCAGAACTTTGTGTTTATCACCGTGTCTTCACAAGTTAACAGCTCATCTTTCTCCTTTTGATGGGCTCCTCGGCTGCAGCAGCTCTCTCAGCTGAAGCCCCCCCAGCTTTAGCTGACCCCTTGGCTCCAACGGATCCCCTCAGCTGCAGCATGTGTTCCCCTCCTCTGTAGCTTCCCCCCCCACCCCCTCGGCTGCAGCGCAGCATTTGATGTGACTGGCTGTTCTGATTTGGAGGAATGTTATTTCTAGAAAGTGCCACTTCTTTGTTTGGGCTCGTTGAAAGCCTGTCAGATCAGCCGCATCACAAAGCTCCTCTCTGCATATCAAAGGCTCCTCTCAGGAACTCTGAAGTGTCTTTTATGTTTCTGCTCAGAGCCCAAGTTTCCACTGCTCAGCAGCTTTCTGTCCTCCGGGTCGCCGCCTCCTCGTCCCGTCGGTCTGATTCAGTTTTCAGCATGGCTGGATTGAGGTCAAATGGAACGTGGGGGTGTGAGTCTGGGTCTGAGTCAGACACAGAACAGAGAAATCAGAGGCAGCTGATGGTTCTGAAGCAAGAATCTGGAAATGGACCCATGTTAGAGCTCTGGAGACAAAAAAAGAAACATCCTGAAAGTGTGACATCATGCAGCAACACAGCATAATGTTGCATGGAGCTACAGGAGACGGTAACTCAATGCCAGGGTGGAAAGACAACAGCTTCTTCTGTTATCGGCTGTCATCCTCCTCCATGTCCTCACTCCAACTACCTCCATGTTCTCCCAAACTGCATCATGCATCTCCTCTTTGTCTGCATAGACCCTGCTCCTCAGTCTGGCCATGCCCACTCTCACCTGCTCCCTTTCTGTCATCGGCTCAGGTTGATTTCTACTCTCCGTTCCCTCTCCCAGTTCATCCATCCATCCATGGATGGATGGATGGACGGTCTGAATGAGCAGGATAATTCTTTTCTCTTTAAGTTTGCAGAGAAAAGGGGGACAGCATAAACTGGAGATCATGTTCTGATGGATCAGAGTTCTCAGAACAACCAGGACCATCATGTTGGAGCTGATGGGAAACACAATCCTGTTCCAGGTGGAGCCGGATGATCGTCTCACTCTGACTGAAGGTTCAAGTCGTGGAGCTCCGCCCTCCGTGCAGATCAGTGACAGAACAGGAAGCAGTACCAGAATCTGAGAGCAGCTGGTTGAAGACAACTGCTGGACGGGTGGTGTTCAGAGTGAAACCTGCCGTCACAACAAGGCTGCAGCAGTTACCTGACACCTGGAACCTTCATCCACACTGACCTGATCCAGAGGACCGGTCTACAGAAGGAGCCGGGGGGAACCTATTTTATGAAAACCTTTAAACAAACAGCCTTCTGTCCAGTGAACGTCAGCTCTTCCCGGTGCTGATCCGGTTTGTGCCCCAGGGCCCGGCTGCCGTTTGCGTCACTGCACGACACGCTTTGAAGAAGGACGACGTCACGCAGTGAGTTCTGCTCCCAGCCTCAGGAGGATCAGTTAATCCTTCACTCTGTCACGCACCGGCAGACTCGGCTGCATCTGATCAGACGCTGCTTAACTCGGCCTTTACCTACCATCACGTGCAGAACAGCAGCTAAAACCAGCAGAACAGGAGCTAAAACCAACAAGACATGAGCTAAACCCAACAGCACTGGAGCTTAAACCAACAGAACAGGAGCTAAACCCAACAGGACAGGAGCTGAAACCAACAAAACAGGAGCTAAAACCAGCAAGCAGGACAGGAGCTGA